CCCCCCCCCCCCCCCCATAATCACCAGATAAAAAATATAATATTTTATTTTTATTTTTTTATCTAACATTTCTTGGCCTTCCCCCACCCCCTGCCTCCACCACCCCCAGGGTGTACGGGCATCTGTGGTTAAGAACCACTGAGTTAGAGCAAATATCCTAATAACCAATAAATAATTTCAATGAGAAATGTTCTTTAATAAATAAATCTCTGTCCAAGAAACTTGTCTTTTTATAATTCTTGCAATAAAAAACTATTGAGGAATTAGTCATAGGTTTTAGTAGCAACAGTCCATGTTGGAGATAAAATTGATTTATATAAAATGAGTTATTTATTGGATTTAAAAACCTTTTCTTTCAAAATTCACACAAAATCAATTTAGAAAGATACTAATATGACATTTACAGATGTCAGGAAAGGTAATTCTTTCATCTCTCTTATCTCTCCTGGAGGCTTCAACTCTCTAATTTTTAGAACAGTCAAATTTTTAATTGTTCCTTAAAAGGCACTGTGGTAAATTCCTACCAGATAGATTCTCTGAGGATTTGTTGCTCTGTAACAACACACCTGGACTCTGTAGACTGAAGTAAACTCAGCTGTCTTTTGTAAAACTTCCTGAAGATAAATTGTAGGCAAATTTTTTGTTACCGTGTGGTCATTTATTAATTAACATTTTGTAAAGACATGATGAGATCGACATCGACCGATTTTATTAACCTTTTAAATCCACAATCGGCGTCTGCAAACATGGCAACAAGAAAAATTCATGGATATGCTCCCCTTCGCTGCGTACATATTCTTGCGAATTAAACACAACTTTTAACTTAAAATGGTGTGCATAAAGTCAGAGTTTTGTCAACTTTTAAGATTTTTTACACTGATCAATAGTATTTTGCGTAACAAATGGTATCAGAAGACGAATCTGATAGCAATTTAGATGTAATTATAGATAATTCATCAGTTAATTCTGGTAGCTGTAGTGATGGAGATTCCTGTATTTAAATTAATAAAATGAACTAAATATCCCACTTGACAAACGTTGTAAGTTTACTGTCCAATGACCTTATGTCTCACTGCACCAGTTTAAGTCTACTGTCCAATGACCTTATGTCTCACTGCACCAGTTTAAGTCTACTGTCCAATGACCTTATGTCTCACTGTACCAGGAGAAATCATGAGGATAGAATGGATTTGTTACCATATGTGCTGTGTGGATATACAAGCTATGACAAAATAAATAATAAAAATACCCTCTTGGATACTACTTCTAAGCTAAGTGCTATTTTTTATTTTATTCTGTTTTTCTGTTTTGTTTGCTGACGAAGGCTTCCTGCCGACACGTTCGTTGTTTTGTTGCGTTCCTTTTTTCAGGTTTAACCTCACTTTGTTTTACTAATGACACAATAAATATCTCTGGTATTAACATTAATCTATAAATCTCCTTGATAGGGCCAATGACTTTAACTTTAAGTCCATTTCGAGGTAAACGCCACTCTAAACACATACTATCACATCGACCTTTGACACATTAGCTTATGAAGGGTATCATCGTCACAGTCGTTTTTTTCCTCACTCAGTTTCATCAATATAAAAGGTTAAAAAGCATGTTACTATCCTAGTGTCTCATTTTTATTGTAGCTAGTTTACATGTTTTTAATAATTGTAAAGCGCTTAGAGCTTTAAGGTAAGCGCTATATAAAAATGCCTAAATAAATAAATAAATAAATGTCTACAAAATGAATGTTTTTGTCACCAGTCTCTGGCAAGATTTGATGCTGAGTGACCTCCTGAGAGGTCATCTTCCTTCCCTTTTCCCTTCCAATATTCCACCACCAGGACTTGCTCCAGCTTTGTGCACTCGTCTCCGGTGAGCGGGTTGTCATATAATTTCGCCTCGCTAGAGGGTAAGACCTGTGAGGGCGCCTGGTGGTCTGAACCATGGGTTGAGAGAGACTGCTGCCTACTGGAAGGAATTACAACTAAATTTAAATGCAATAAAAAAATAAAAAACTTGCTGCTTTTATTTCATGCACATACAAAATTTTTTATAAATCATTTACAAGATGAAGTTTGTCAATTTTTTTGTAAGCACAATTAAATTATTTGTACCTCAAAGAAAAATGAGGAATTTATTTAATAATTAAGACTTTTATATTCTTTTGACTAACGCAAACTACAGACCATGTTGAGCAAGTTGAGAGCAGTGAAAGAGCCTCACTGGGGCTCCATAGTGCTCTGGCATATTCTCAAGACAGCCCACGGGGGGGGGCCCTGTCTGCGCCCATGATAGTAATGATATCCCTTTTGGTTTCAGGCATAAATAAAGTTCTATGTCCCTCACTACACACCGTGTGTTACATCGTGTGTTACATCATGTGTTACACCGTGTGTTACATCATGTGTTACATCGTGTGTTACACCATGTGTTACATCGTGTGTTACATCGTGTTACACCGTGTGTTACAGCATGTGTTACATCGTGTGTTACACTGTGTGTTACACCATGTGTTACATCATGTTACACTGTGTGTAACATCGTGTGTTACACCATGTGTTACATGGTGTGTTACATCGTGTTACACCATGTTTTACACTGTGTGTTACACCATGTTTTACACTGTGTGTTACATTGTGTGTTACATCGTGTTTTATACCATGTGTTATGCCGTGTGTTACACCATGTGTTACATCCGATAGAAATTGTATGGAAAAAAAAATATTTAAAAGATTTGGTACGTTGGCTCCATATGATAAAAACCAGATTCACAATTTGGCATAGCTTGTGTGCCTTTCTCCTGTTTGGTTTTAAAATTTTATACCACCCACTTCCTTTCCGTTCCTCTGACCTTTGTTCTTTTCAGTGTCTTACGCCAACTCTTATTCTTTTCTTTCCTTTTTTAGGTAGGGTCCATGTGTATATATATATATGTAAATTTAATTTATACGTAAATGAAGGTTTTTTTTACTGATGAAAGCATTTGCCTACATTTGTATTCTGTATGATCTTGTTAAAGCTGAACTTTTATTCACACAAACTGTTTGTGTCTGATTAATCTTCTCTTAGATGAGTTGCTGTCCAAGGTTAACAATTCCCATCCACCCTGGACGATGGTGAAGTTTTTGATTCTGCTGGGAATTGAACCCAAATCAACTAGCTTGGGACTGACTCAATTTAGACTACCCAGGTCATCATGATACCAATGACAGTTGATTAGAGCCTGACCTGTCCATGGGGCTGAGGAGGCAAAGTTGAACCGATGAGGGAGAGGCTGTGAGCCTGTAAAGCCCCCCCCCCCCCCCCCATTTAGCTGGAATCAAAGTCCAGGTGCGCCTCGCTACAAAACTAGACAGACTAAATGTACTTCTCTGTTACAAGTTTCTCATTACTCCTAAGTACAACATATAGGTCTCAAATTACCTGTGTATGTCAGCTTTATCAAGTTGTTGTTCCTCATCAGATGATGAGGCTTCGCTGACCTCATCTTCATCACTGCTACTTGACTAAAGAAAGTTCAACAGATCATATTAGTTTTAAAGTAGTAAGCTTTTAGATGACCATTGGGTGACTTACTTTTAACATTGAGTAGGCAAGCTCTGTCATGTGACATGACGCAAAGAATATTTTATATTTCTAGACATTAAAATAGTCTAATGAATTTTGTACCTACCAATTTATATTGATTCCTAAAAAAAATCATCCAGAAAATTAAAAACTTTAAATAACATCCCAACCTATAAAAACAAGCCCTTTTTTAAAGTCACCCTTGAAACTAATGAAAACTAAAAATCTTGAAGATATTGAATACAGTAACCTAATGTTTTGAGTTGGCAACATTTCCTGGCAACTACATTTCTTGTTTTTTTTTTTACTCAACCTGGCACATTTATAAGGCCAAAACAGAGACGACACTTACAGCATAAGATATAAAGTTCAGATTTAAGTCATTTAACAAGTAACTCTTCCAGTCAAAGTTGTCAGCTTCCTCTGTAGAGATAAAAACGGTAAATTATCTAAATGACACTTTTTATCATAAAATAACATACAAATTTGTTTTAATTCTTTTTTTAAATTATTGACATAATATAAAGTGGTAAAATAAAATAGAAAAAAAAACAATTTAAAAGGAATTATTATAAAAAAAAAATTAATATTTATGATATTGGAAATGAAATGATAACCTGAAAGTTGTTAAATGTTCACAGGTAACAAGACCCTGAAATGTTCAGTGATAACAACCCCCCCCCCTGAATGTTCCTTTCACTCACCTGGCACAACATGTTTTTGTTTCCGTTCAAACTCTGTCTTAATAGGAGAACAGGCCAATTCTAACAGCAGCGATAGTAAGGCGTAATGGACATCGGTCTAAAGAAAGAAAAATTTTCTCCAATTGATACTCTGGAAATCAGGGGATAGCTTTTCTTTTTTTTCTCCTCAAATCTCATCAATCTATAACTTATAACGTCTTAATGCCAACGAATTTCATTTATCTATAAAACAAATATTCACTGTTATGGCGATGAGAACTATATTTTTATCAGAAAATGTTTGTGTATTGAATATTGATTAATATGAATTAAAAAGACAAATATTTTATATGATAATTAATGAGCAGTAAAATAGAAGGATACCAGATACTTTTCTGATTATGTGTTGCATTTTCGCATTATATTTAAACTGATATTATTTGTTTATTGAAAAAAAAAAAGGTTGATTTTTAATTCTATATATAAATACCAAATTATAAGAGTTGTAATTCAAGGGAAATAAATAATAAATTTAATTGATTAAATTTTACAGCCTGTTTTATTGTTGGAGTCATGTGATCCAGAGGTAGAAGAACACAATTTATAGGAATACCAAAAATCATAATAAATTATTATTGGTCGCATTTTACAACATATACAACAATAAGAATCAATTACCTTGCCAGTTTCTCTACCATCAAGACCTGGCTGTTCCAAGAAAGCAGAGGTCAGCTCCTGTAAATCAGTTGCCTTCTGTTTCTGTGAGTGAACTTCAAATTTTTCACAAAGTCTAAAAAGTTAAGAAAAATAATGGACTTTAAACAAAATTCTGTTAATACTGTTAATTAACTATCCCTTTCGTGTGCTCCGTGAATTTAAAATATTAATTAGCGGGATCATACCTCAATCATCCACAGAAAGCTTCTTAAAAGCAAAAGTGTTTTTAACTATAGTCATGATAAAAAGGGTTTGACATTTAACACAAATAAATATTAGTCGGGTGGAATATAAAACCAAGTCCTTCAGTTACGATGCGTAAGATCAGAGAATGATTCAACCATCAGACAAAACAATACTCATCTCAATCCTAACCACTGGCTTACCCATTAATAATTCTGTGGATCTTGTGACTGTCGGGTGTGAGAAATCTGTGGTACTTGAAGTTTGATTCGGCAAAAGTCAAACAAAGGTGAAAGTTTTCACTCTTTTCCTGAGAAAATGATATTTTTGATATTAGCAGGATAATGTCCTTCCTAAAAAATATAAGAAAATATGATATTCCAATATTTCATGTGTCAAATGTTGGTTTTAGAATGATGTATGCATGATAATATAAAGGGATGGGGTGTCAATTTGGTAACTTACATACCTCACTTTGTGGTATCATAGAATTATATATTTTGACACCTTTAAAACTAGACATATATAAGTTCAAGTAAAAATAAAACTTTGCCATGAACAGGTGTTGGAATTTTAATTAAAGAAGACATGGCGCTTAATGGGGTGGTCAATTTTTGGTATGTCGATTGGGACCGGGAAAGGCTACCAAATCAAAACTATGTTAGGAAACAGAAGAGGCCCATCCCATTTCCCATGAATTTAAAGCTAAAGAAGTCCCATATACAGTTGCAGTATACCCAGGCCAGGTTTGATCCATAAGCCAGGTTTGATCCACAGGCAAGGTTTGATCCACATGCAAGGTTTGATCCACGGACCAGGTTTGATCCACAGGCCAGGTTTGATCCACAGACCAGGTTTGATCTACAGGCCAGGTTTGATCCATAGGCAAGGCTGGATTCACATGCCAGGTTTGATCCACAGGCAAAAATGGATCCATATGCCAAGTTTGATCGACAGACCATGGTTTGCTGACCCTCGAGTAACAATGCTACTTGAGTTATCAATTCAAATTAATAAATCATGTTAACAGCAGTTTTCATAAAGCTGTGTAACTACAAATATTTGATGTCTTTATTATGGTTTACATTAACTAACTATTATTCACCTGAAATCCTGTAATAAGCTTGATCAATGTTCTTGTGTCATTCTCAATCTTCTCCTTTCTTTTGGCAGCCATATATTAACCTGCTGATGTCAATAACATTATTGGTAAAATTTCTTTGGGCTTAGTGCATTTAAAGAAATTTTTAATTATTTCAACTTAATAGTGCATTTAAACTCGTCTTTTGTTTTATTTTTTATTTTCTACGTTTTAGTATTACATTTTTTAAAAAATCATCATCACTCCCCAGCCTAACCTCATCCTCCCTCGACTCAGCAAACTGAAGATATCAGATGCATCTCCATTCTGACCTTACAGAATACTCTAACTTTATTTTCATTATTATTAAGCTGGCTATGACGCAGGTCAGATGGTGCGTGGCATGCATAAACTGTAGACAGTCATGTGGGGAATAAAAAATTACGCTGGATATTGGGACAGGAAGAAACTAATTCATTAATTTTAGTATTATTAGTATTAGCATTTTCCTCACATATGCCAATAGCCAATAGGACTGTATAGTAATAGTATTCAATATTAGTAACCAATGGGCGTTGGGGGGGGGGGGCAGTACCAGTATCACTAAAAATATAGGCTATTATAACATAATACTATTATATTAATTATATTCACTGAATATAACTAATTGTTTAACACTAACAGATATCTAGCTCGCCCTGCTGCTCGTATTATATTTATTATTTAATTTATATAATTAATTAGTAGTTAGTAGGCTAGGACCGGTTAGTATTAATTAGTATTAGTAAGTAAGGCATACTAAACTATTAATAATTATATTGTAGACTAAGACTAATTTAAATGTAATCTGGGCACAATGTTTATTAATTTTATATTGTTTATGATTTTATTTTTGGAGGCTCGAGGCCTTTGCCTTTATTATTGTTTAAGTTTAAGTTTTATTAATTGGGTTATTATTATACGGGCAAAGACGGCTAAGACGCGTTTCAGTGCATGAGTGAACTTCACATTGTTTATCCGTGATTTTTTACTATAGTGAGTTTCTTTTTTTTTTTTTTTTTCAATAAATTCGCTGGTGGAATATTACCAGGGATGAAACAACAATATCTCATTTACTCAATAGTCAATAGTCAATAAGTTGTAGGATTGATTGTAAACTGCATTTGAACTGGAGGTACTTTTACGTCATTTGTAAACATAAGGTGAAAATACTCCGTTTACTGTTTACGTTTACTCCTTTTTTAAAAAAAAAATTAATTCTTTTGATCAATATAATCAACAGTAAAAAAAAAAAAAAAAAAAAAAAATTTTTTTAATAAAAAAATAAAAAGAAAAAAAAAAAAAAAAGGCGTAGCCTTAGGTATTAGCCCTACTGAAAGAAAGCTCTTTGACAGTCTTTAAGAATTACCTTAATGTTAAACTTCAATAATAGTATAGGCCACATAATTATCTTATTAATTTATTAATTATTCATTAAAATACTCACAAAAATAAAACTATTGTTATCTAATAGGCCTACTTTTGACTAAAATTAAAAACAAATATTTTTTAATCACGCAAAACCATCTCATTAATTAAAATATGAAATGAAATCTTAAATAATAAAATATATTTAATATATAAAAATACAATTAAAATTTTAAAAAACTGTTCCTTCATATTTTTTCCTTAGAACTATCGTACAAGTAACATAAAATTGATATAATATACAACTTACGTCAAAATAGCTATTTCTATTTACATTAATAAATCTCCCGATTTAAAAGAGTGGATCTGAATTAGTGGATTTTTGTTACTTACCTAGCGTACACTTATTAGATAATAAGAAACTGTCTGAACTAGATAATTAATTTGGATACAGCTACAAAAATGTGTGTTTCTCTTCGTACTGCTCTCCTTGCTTCATATATACCATAACTTCAACCCATAACAACCTGCCATACGTCTCAGGTCTGACTATCCATTTTTGACATAAATTCATGATTGAATCCACTTGTTTTGACTGTGACTTAGACTTAACGTTTTCAATGTTGAACATTGTGACTCTCTGATCCCACCTCCTATAAAACAGGATTGAGCATATCATAAAAATTTTGAAGTAGTAATACTATTATGTTTATGAGGGTTTGATTTTCAAATGTGATAATGAGGCGCAAGGCGAAGATGACTTCTACAGTGTCAGTACACTACACTCTGAGTAAAGTGACTAGGAAGGGCTGGGGTCTACAACAGTGGTTCTCAACCTTTCTGATGCCGCTACCCTTTAATACAGTTCTTCATGTTGTGGTGACCCCCAACCACAAAATTATTTTCGTTGATACTTTATAACTTTTGAGTGTATGTGTTTTTTTATTGTCTTAGGCGACCTCTCTGATTGAAAAGGGTCGTAACTCACAGGTTGAGAACCACTGGTCTACAATAAAGTACTAAAGTAATAAAGTTAAGCATGTGTAATAAAGTTAAGCATGCTCACATTGATCTGATATCCTAAAATCTTTTTAAAGAAAAATCATAAAATGTCCCTACAATGATTTTTTAACATTTTCAATTTCACTCTAAAAAAACACTGGGTAAATGTGAAGAGATAGCACCACGTTTTTTTACCATGGTGAACTTATGTCCTAAATTTATCCCTAAACCTAACCTGAACCCAAAATCTATCCCTAAACCAAACTTGAACCCTAAACTTATCCGTAACCTGGGTTTTGACCCTATCGGAACCAGGGACAAAGCACAAAAAGGACTTCAGAGTGCTTTCTCTTCACATTAGCCAAACACTCATTATTATTATTATTAATTAAACTAAATTGAATTTTTAAAAGTGACATCTTATAACTTATGTCAGAATACATCCGTCACAACAGAAATTTAAGGAACAGAAATTTAAGGACCACTGTCCATTTCAGGTTTTATATTATTATGATAAAAAGAAATTATGTGTGATTTCACATATGATCTTTACCACCCCACCAAACACCACCCCAGTCACAAGCTGTCATACTTTCTTAGCCCCCCTCTGGCACTGTACGTGCTTTATACGGCCCCATAAGCTAAGGGCTGAACATAAATCAAATTCTAAAGTAAAAGACATAAGTTAGGCTTATTACTAATTGAAATAATTAGCCTAGGCCTAGGCTTAAGCCAAACAGCATTCATATAATGATTAGCCTAGCATAATGGGCTTAAAAAAAAATTAATTAAAGTATGTGGGTGTGGGCAAGTTTGATTTTCAAGTCAATAACTGTCAATTAGTAAGAAGTACTTAGAAACATAGAAAGAAGACTAGTAAGTAACAATAGGCATACATTTTATATTAATAATAGCATACTATTTGTTACTAAATCTCTATAAATCTAACTCATATAAAGTTAAATGAGTAGATATATCATTATAGTTTTAGTTATGATTCTAAGTGATTTCATTGTGCCAATTTAATTGTACCAATGATTGAGGAGTCAGATGGAGGCCTGCAAATTTTATACAAATAGTAAAATAACTTAAGACTAGCTCTTTTGTCAGTAACATTCTTTCGTGGGTGTATTAGCCACCTCCTGACAGCCATAAGTTAAACCATAGAAAGTAGATATCATTGTATTCTATAATTACTGTCAGTCTGATTCACTGCCCTATCATCATATTTTATCATAAAATATCATGATTATATCTTGGGTCAATAAATATTCAGGCCTACTACTACTATTTTTAATCCGGACGAAAAAATATTACCATTGATTTGAAAAATGTACTTCTTTATAAATGTTTTTTTGAAACTATTGTGATCTCCATTTTTAGCCTTTTTTTAAAAAAAAAAAAATATAAACAAAATTACAGACTTTGGTCTGATGGGAAAACAGCCTAGTTGGTCTATTTAAAAATGTGTATATATTTTCCCTTTCCAGGTCAAAGAAACCTAACAAATGGGCACTTGTTGACCCAACACCAGTAGATCTGGTTAGTAGGCCTACTTACATGTTTAGTTAAATAATCCTTGTGATAACAAATTATCCAACTAGAGCTTTATCAATATTTTTACATAGGTACATTAGTAATTACTCTTTTGTTTGTTATTTCACCATGCAATTAAAAAACACATGCATTCATATATGCAGGTATCCATGCATTTGTAGATGCAGTCATCCATGCATTTGTAGATACCGTCATAAATACAGTCATACATTTAATACATGCAGTCATGCATGCATTCATTATATGCTGTCACCCATGTAGTTATAGATAGTCATGCATAGTGTCATAGATGCAGTCATGCATCTGGTCATGCATGCAAACATGCAGTCATAGATGCAGTCCTACAGTCATGCTTGCAGTCTTAAATGCAGTAATACATGCAGTCATAGATGCAGTCAAGGATGTAGTGATGCATGCAGTCATCCATGCATTCATAGGCGCAGTCATACATGAAGTCATGCAAAATGCATTGCTCTTGAGAATAACCATCAAAATCTTTTGTGATTATGTCTGGAATACATAAGAAATATTTTACTCCTCCCTATTCTTCATAGCCATGATTGAATTTGCAGATAAGGCAGTGCTATTGTTCCAAAAATATTAAAGCACCCATAAACAAAACACAGGCTTCTTTAAAATTAATTACCAGATTTTTTTTTTACCAACTGTTCATTGCACCCAATTTTATTTTGTACAGTTTCATCATTCTAAGTGCATCTATTTTAAAAAAGTTAGAAGGTAATGGTCAGATGGGACCATCCCAAAATTACATGCTCATGCACCCATATGCTTAATGTACTGTCATTTTATCATTGAAATTGTTATACGGAAGAGCTATATTTAAAATAATAACTTGCTTATAATTTAGGCGACGAGAATGTCATCGAAAGAGTCTGTGCTTGGTGTTCCCACCCTTTCTCTTCCCCACGAGGAGTCCATCCTGGAGCATTATTTCACACTTCTCAGTCAAGCCAGTTTTGATAAAGCCAAAGAACTTGTGGTAATTATCATAGAGCACACAATGGATTCCTTATAAACTGTTTGTGGGAAATGGCCAGGTTAATTAAAGGGCAATTTAGTTGATTGGCCAGTGTTCCTGGGACCCAGACCTGGGGTTAAAGGACCTTCTGCAGTTATTACATGCAATGCTTTTAATATGAGTTGAGCTTGCATTCAATAGCCGTAGCCAGACAGTTTTAACAGAAGTTTTTATGAAGCAATGCAACGTAGCTTTACATAGTTATATCATCCTTTGTAGTTTTGACATTTTCCTGGACATGTAAAATTATATCTGAAGTAGGCTACCTGTTAAGGTTAAAACAAACAAAATTATAAGAGGATGTTAAGTTTAAGAACACAAGGATAATTATTATTATCTGTCATCTGCCAAGTTGGACAGTACACCTCTATGGACAAGTCATAAAATAAATTGCTAAAGGCCCTTCTGTTGGATGTACCTTGGGCCCCAAAAAGGCTTAATCTGGCTCCACTGGTGGCTAACTATGGGATTTAAACTGGGGTTTGCACCATGTTAACTGTTCCCAAAGAGCTTAATCTGGCTCCACCAGTGGCTTACTTTAGCATTTAAACTAGGACTTGCACCTTGTTAACTGTGTGTTCCCATCTGTTGGATGTAACCTGGGCCACCAAAGTGCTTAATCTGGCTCCACCAGTGGCTTACTTTAGGATTTAAACGGGCTTGCGCCTTGTTAACTGTGTGTTCCCATCTGTTGGATGTACCCTGGGCCACCAAAGTGCTTAATCTGGCTCCACTAGTGGCTAACTATAGGATTTACAGTGTGGTTTGCACCGTTTTAACTATTGGCGTTTTATTTCTAAAATATACTTATATTTCTTTACTTCTACCCAACCACAGGACACTGAGAAAGATGGGCACAAGTTCAGCAACGCCGCATCTTGGGGAGAAATTCTTCAGTGCTTATCTCAGCTTGCAACAGCAGAGAAAAACTACAGCAATCTTGTCTTCCTGGGGCAAAAGAGGTTTACGCATATTGTCCGTTCAAAAGATGTGAGTGAAAGAAATTCATCTTAATTAGTTTAGTTTTTCAAACTTTTAATATGCCATTACCCTCAATGGCTACGCTGTGTGAGGAGATGTAAATCTCAAATATTGAATAGTCGTCTAAAGACAACTATTTCGATATTGACTCTCACTACGTTATCACAACTATTCACCACAACACTGTTTACTTCAATTCACCATATTAGTTTATTCGCCATGACAATTTAACAATTCCTTAACCTATTGCTGTTATATTAAGTTATGACTAATAGTCAAGACGTTCCTGCAAAACACTCAGCAATACACAACAAGTTAAACCGTGAATATCCTTCAACTCTACTCTACGGCAATCAATCCACCATAATATCAACAAAACTGACACATCATGCCCCTTACCCAATTACGTCACAAAACTCTCAATATAATAGATACAGATACACATATACTTTCTATTCTAAACATCTTTTCCATACCAAACAGTTACTTGTAACCCCAAACATAATAACAGTGATTCCCATACCCTTGACACCGTGAAGCTCATGAACCCTTGAATGTTACATTTTTTCCTGTACATTGTGAAGTTGGTTGTCTACATTCATAAACCAGCAAAGTGTTCAGGGCTCGGTTAAAATAAACCATGTTTCATCTTGAGTTAGTGTTTTTCCCGTAAGTGATAAATTTTAGCCAGCATGCCCTATCTACATTTGCCAGTAAGCACCAGTTATGATTACAGTTTCAAAAAGCTGACTTAAAAATAATAGAAATAGGTCAAGAATTTTAGGATGCCAGATAGCGGTATTTAAAGTTACCGCAGGAAAACCCATAGCAAAATCCTGAACAAGTTTAACCACTGCAATAAGTTTAACATCAGAGTTAACTTATGAATTTATCAAATTCAATTTACAGTCAACACTTTAAGTAGCAAAAGCTTTGTAAGGCATAGTTCAAAAATTTTAAATAGATTATGAAAATATATATTTTTTTAAATTAACTAATATAGATTTACTGTCGCATCTATAATTGTCATGTATTATAAATGACAAAGTGGCTGTGGGGACTATTAGAAATTGAAGAGAAAAAAAAAAAGATATATTTTAAATATTATCAAGTTCCAAGAAAGTGAAATGAACACAATGCTTTCATGTTTATCCAGAGTGCCAAGTCCATTTATTCAATGTTGTTTCAAGAGTTTCAACGCATGGAAAACTTCCTCACACCTCTGCTAAGGGAGAGCAGCACTCATCTTGAAACTGACCAGCTCCTAGCCCACATCAGTGGGCAGCTGTCCTACTTTGTGAGAGCAAGGATTAAAATGATAGAATTGTATCCTTTATTGAAATACAAATCTGCATGTGCGGCCCACCTGTTGGCTCGTTTTGAACAACTGTTAAAGCATTTCGAACACCAAATTGGATCTTTAAGGGTTAAATGGAAATACACATACCTGAACAAAAACTTTTAAAATGTTCATTAAAAGTCAACTGCTATAATTAAGCTGTTCAGCCAGAGCTCAGCAACCTTTTGTCACGTGATACACACCTTAGGCTCTTCCAATAATTCCACCGCACACCACGGGTAAAAACATGCAAAAATATATAATAAATAACCTAATGCAGTTAACATTCATAATGGCGTGTAATGCTAAAATGTATCGGATCACGCTGCATTGCTCAGTTTAAAATGTCCATACTGGATGCATATCTGTCATCACAATGTTTGACAGCTTAATCATAATAGGCTATTCAATGTCTCTCTTGTATCATCACGGTTTAATCATGCTAACGTAACTTCATAAAATCTGTGCTTTCCTCTTTTTGGAGACATTTTGCACGGCACACCTGGCGCCACCTAGTGGCACACCAGCTGTGAGGCTCTGTCACCAGCTGTGAGGCTCTGTCACCAGCTGTGAGACTCTGTCACCAGCTGTGAGGCTCTGTCACCAGCTGTGAGGCTCTGTCACCAGCTGTGAGGCTCTGTCACCAGCTGTGAGGCTCTGTCACCAGCTGTGAGGCTCTGTCACCAGCTGTGAGGCTCTGTCACCAGCTGTGAGGCTCTGTGTGTGTAAGCAGATTTTTTTTTTTAAAGTTAAGCAAAAATGCACTGTTGTGATCTGCCTTCATTGTGACCTAGTTATGAACAGTTGGCAAGCCTGGGTGCCATGAGGCAGTGGATGAACTTTGACGACCTGATCATGATTCTTGAGGAAATAGTGGCAGAGAATGTGACGGCTTTCCACCACCCACTGGGAACCTCTCTCAAAACAGTTTTTAGGTGAGAATTTGAGATAATGATAGACCTTCTGTCGGGAACCTCTCTCAAAAATAGTTTTTGGGTGAGAATTTGAGATAAGTATAATGATAGATCTTCTTCACACTTTCATTTTCAAACATTTAAACAAAAAGTGGGTGCCAGGGCTTGGCTTGTCACATGCAGGGCTTGAACTATGAGTCATAGGATCAGGTTAATCTTACTAGGTACAGAATGAAAACAGTGAACCATCAGCCTCTTTTAACTGCCCGTCCTTACCTAACACTTTACACCTTACTATAGGATTACAAGCTCACTCTCTTGACCAAGTGAGGCACCTAACTGAGAGCACCCCAGACATTCATTTTATAAGCATTACACATGAATTAAATATCTCTGTCAGGAAACACCCCCCCCCCCCAATCCCAACATTGCAAAAGTCCTTTTAGTGTTAAAACTTGTTAGGGATTTTTTGTCCTTAATGTATTTTTAATTGCAAAAGTCCTTTTAGTGTTAAAACTTGTTAGGGATTTTTTGTCGTTAATGTATTTTTGCTCTTATACTACCTAAATTCTTACCAGACCTTTGGGTTGGGGGGGGGGGTGTAAGCCAGACCTGTTTACTATTACGATTTTGGCGTACAATGTAAGATTTTGAGGTGTATAGATTGTATATACTGTATGTTTATTTTTTACTATAAATATAACGTATTGAACGAATTTTTCATGATATTGTACGATTTTAAGAGTCTGAGGGTAAACTGGTCTGATAAGCTGAGACAAGTAATGTGATTGTTAGCTGGGACAAACTGACTGCCCGCTCCCTTCTTAGAGTGTTGGTGTAATCATTTTTTTAAAAATCAAGTTTTATGTTGTGGCATTCTTATATAACAACAGAGTTGTACATTCCAACCCACTTATTGGAACAAAGGAAAAGGCCACTTTGGAATAGATTGGTTTTTTCCATGTATTAGATTGTTTTTTTCCATGTATTTTCAGCCTGGAGTGTGAGTCACTCAGTCACCTGCTCAAAGCCCTGCTGCTGATGACCACCTGGAGCTACATGCAGTGTGTCCTTCAGCTTCACCAGGCTCACAGTAAACTCAATACATGGGGGACCATGATTCCCATCAAAGAGGTGACTCTCCATGTTCTGTACACTTAATAAATGGGGGATGGGATGTTATTAATTACAAAGGATGTGATACTTTTTTTTTATATCAATATTCAAAACCAAGAGCTGAATCTGTCAGGATGTCATTAAAGTACCGTTATGTCAGGATGTCATTAAAGTACCGTTATGTCAGGATGTCATTAAAGTACCATTATGAACAAAGCCATCCAATATTTTTAAAAATTTGACAATCCAGCGGTTTGTTTTTTTGCATCAAATACATTATGTAAGAGCTATTATTGGCCCTCAAATTTTTAATGTTTCCAATCATATAACCAATCATCTGTTTGAATAGGTCCTATGTTTTCCATATCTTCCTGGGAAAACATCTATTTGTGTGCATGTTCATTACATTTTCAATCAATGTGAAGTTGTTTTTTTAACACACTATAAAGCAGAGAAAAATAACTTTTGTTAAGAAACAAATTAAATTTGGCTTTATTCATTTACACATAATACAGGATAAAATATAAATTGTTTTATTCAACTTGATAAAACATTTGGTTTGGTGAAATTTCATTTATTCAACTTGATTAAAAGGAAGGAGACTTATTTTGTATACGGTACACCAATTTAATGCAATATCATGATAGGTCAGCTCCTGCTTGTCTCAAAAAGAATTAATATTGTGCAGCTAGGGGCATAGCTAGAGATAGCGCAGCCCGGGGCATAGCGAAGGATAGTGCAGCCCCCCGGGGCGTAGCTAGGGATAGTGCAGCCCCCGGGGTGGGCCAAGCATTTGGCCACTCCCCTTCCATGGAAAAAAACTCAGCAGTTGGCTGAAAATGTTATCACTCAATATCATGAAAGTGGCACCTGCGCACTTCAAACACCCCCCCCCCTTTTTTTTTCCTTTGTCAATATTTGCAGCTGACATTACTCAACATCTATTTTCAACTTTGTAGGTTGAAAGAAGAGAAGGTGAAGCTCGGTTGTTGTTTTTTTTGTTTTTTCTTCTCCCAAACAAAAAGAATAACGTGATCAGCCATTACCGGTATTAACCAAAGTTTTATGTTCCAGGTCAAGTCCTCATTCGGCCGCTCATCCAGCAAGTCCAATCCGTTTCCCCCCATCTACACCTGGATGTACAAGCTCAAAGGGATTCTCTTATCAAAGGTGATCATTCATTTTGATTTATTTCCCTTTCAAAGGTGATCAATCAGTTGTGCTTGATATCTCTTATCAAAGATGATCAGTCAGTTGTGCTAGATACTAGGGGTGTGCCGGAATCCGGTTCCGCCGGATTTTGCACTATCCGGTGAAATCCGGTTCCTCCGGATTTACATGTATCCGGAACAACCGGATTCCGGAATCCGGAATATACCGGATTTCGGAATTTGCCAGATTTTGTGACTCACCGGATCATAATCTGAAATAAAAGTAATTCTCTTTCCCAAATTCCACACGATCACGATACATTAATCGATTGTTTCGAGCGTTGAGCTTGTTTAATGTTTAATATTCCGTACATACCAGAGGCTAGAGTCAGCACCGCTAATAGTGGCCAATAGTGTAGGGACTTTGATAAGAAAATTTAAACTTTTTGTAAAAATAAACCAATGGCATAGTTGAAAAGATGTAATTTTTTAAAGAATTATAACACCAAAATCATATTTTTAGCTCTTGTAGTTTTAAAGTTATGAATTTTTAAAGTACGACTTGGTTTGTCATTTTTTAACATGGACTGCATCTCCACATTCTGTGATCTCATTCCGCCAATCCCGTCATGCGCAATGACTATATAGTTTATATAAGGCAACGCATTCCCTGCCTTATCACTAAAATACTGTTTAGACTTAGTTTAAACTTTCAACTTTGGCACATGAATAATTAATTAAAGCTTTCCCTGACCAATGGTTTAATAGTTTTTGCACACGGCAAACTCTTATGAATGAAACTCTGAGGTAGTACTACGATACAGTTATGCAAGTGGCTGTGAATGGTTGCCAATGACAACGTGTTGCACACGGTAAATTCTGATCATTTATAATATGGATTCTACCGGGTTGTTAAAGCTCAAATTAAAACATTCCAGTTTAAATGTCTTTAAATGCATTCTGAAACACAAGTTATCAATTATTTTGATGTAAATAGTGATAATAAATTAATATTTCCTAAGTATCGTCAACTTCCGCCATTAAAAAGGGGGGCGTGGCCAACCCCATGGCGAAATTAGGTTGAGCGAGCTGCATAACCTGCTGCGAACGCGTAGAAACATGGCGTCTCTCGTAAGACACTTATCCAAATGGAACGGAACTCAAATATATATCGAAAGTACTAATTTAATAATAAATAGACACACACATCGGAAAATTAAAAACTAGGATTTTTTGGCGCCGATTGCGAATTCCCATACACAAAAAGTAGTAGTCCACCTTGACTTACCGAAGTATCTACCATTAGTACCAAAATCCGGAATCCGGGAGAAACCGGAATCCGGATTATTCCGGAATCCGGATCCGGCGGATTTCGCATAAGAAAATCCGGATCCGGTTGGAAAAAACGGATCCGGCACACCCCTACTAGATACCTCTTATCTAACTGGATCATTCAGTAGTGCTTGATATCTCTTATCAAAGATGATCATTCAGTTGTGCTTGATATCTCTTATCAAAGATGATCAATCAGTTGTGCTTGATCTCTCTTATCAAAGGGGATCATTCAGTTGTGCTAGATACCTCTTATCTAACTGGATTATTCAGTTGTGCTTGATCTCTCTTATCAAAGGGGATCATTCAGTTGTGCTAGATACCTCTTATCTAACTGGATCATTCAGTTGTGCTAGATACCTCTTTTCAAAGGGGATCATTCAGTTGTGCTAGATACCTCTTTTCAAAGGGGATCATTCAGTTGTGCTAGATACCTCTTATCTAACTGTATTATTCAGTTGTGCTTGATATTTTATTATGATAAGATGGGATTAGATGCTTTTTATTTATCATAATACATAGAAACTTGTTTTGATAACATTGCTCATTTCAATCTTGAAAGTGTTTGACTAGTTGTTTTTTGTTTTTGTATTTTGCATGGTCTGTGTTGGTCTGTACCAAGGCTTTAGGTGAACCATTGTGTTGTCAGATTTTTCAAGGCATTAGTCAAGAGTTGTGTGTTCAGTTGTGAGGTGTATTGGTGCTTGAGTGTGTGTTGGAACTTCAAACAAAATATTGTTGATTTTTTGTTTGGCTTTTTTTTTTCTCCTCAAGATCATGGATAATGCAGGTAACAAATGTAATTGAGTCAACTGAATTGTGGTGCCCTGAATATTAGAATTATTCTTTCTACATTCTATCATTTAATTTAAATTTTAACCTTTCAAAATATTGAAATGAGTTACAAACAATTAATTTTAAAAAGTAACAAATGTAATTGAGTCAACTGAATTGTGGTGCCCTGAATATTAGAATTATTCTTTCTACATTCTATCAACATTTAATTTAAATTTTAACCTTTAAAAATATTGAAATGAGTTACAAAACAATCAATATTAAAATGTAAAATAAATAAAAGGCCACTTCCATTACAGTTTGCTTTGTATTTCTACGATGTCCTGGCCAAGCAGACGATCCCGTCCGAGATGAAAGCAAATCTTTCGAAAGTACCTGAAGATTTTGTTGGCAGGTAAGAATTAAAGCAGACAGATAAGCTGACAGGGAAATCAACACTTGTATCAAAATCAAAAGTAACTTAATGCCTAAAACTTATCTTTTGGATTCTTTTCTTTTTTTTTTTTTTTTTTGGTGGGTTATAGAATGGGACCATATTCAGCTTTTACAGGACAATCTCATATTCAGCTTTTACAGGGCAATCACATATTCAGCTTTTACAGGACAATCTCATATTCAGCTTTTACAGGACAATCACATATTCACCTTTTACAGGACAATCACATATTCAGCTTTTACAGGTCCAGGACAATCACATATTCACCTTTTACAGGACAATCACATATTCAGCTTTTACAGGACAATCACATATTCAGCTTTTACAGGTCAATCACATATTCAGCTTTTACAGGACAAACACATATTCAGCTTTTACAGGTCAATCACATATTCAGCTTTTACAGGACAATCACGTATTCAGCTTTTACAGGACAATCACGTATTCAGCTTTTACAGGACAATCACATATTCAGCTTTTACAGGACAATCACATATTCAGTTTTTACAGGTCAATTGCATTACTCCTTTGATTAATTTATCATTTCTCATATTTGCCAACATCAGACCTAATCCTATAGACAGTTGATAAAATACTTATTAAATAATAAGATAAGATAAGATTCTTTTATTCGTCCAAACAAATGAAAATGTTTTTTTGGTTGCATTGTACATTTTCAGCACATAAATAAAACAATTTGAACACAAGATATCTACATTAAATTATTTCACTAGTGAAAAAAACAGCCATTCAGTGAATTCTCTTAGACATATCAGGGACTTATTAGTTCTCATCAAGATTTGTGACTTCAGGGGGAGCACGCTGGTAAATTATTACAGATTAGGGAACAAAAGAATTTTTATATATTTCAGTCCTCGCCCTGAGAATTCATCCCGAACTAGCCAATCCTAAGTATCTGTGATGAAGAGGGTGGGTCATCCAAAATTTGTTTAGTTTTATATCTTTCTTAAAATAGTTCAAATGAGAAGGATGTTTAGTTGGTGTTATGTTCCTAGCTTTCTTGATTAGTCGGTTTATGCTCTGTTTAATATCAGACGATGAATTCCCACACCAGCAGGTATTATTGAAATTAAGTAGGTTTCCAATGGTTGCACTGTAGAATAAGTTAATGACTTGTTTGTTTACGCCCAAATTGTACAGTTTTTTGAGGTAAAACAGTCTTTGGTTGATTTTCTAATACAGCATTTGGCCGCGCTCATGCCATGTTGGCTTATTATTAATGGTGACACCTAAGTACTTATATGCCTCTACTTTCTCTGCACTTTGATTTTTTTATGTTGATTTCTGTAATCTGGTGTTCCCCCTCCTGAAATCAACAACCATTTCCTTTGTCTATAAGACATTCAGCTGGAGAAAATTTTCATCGCACCAATTGATAAAGCTTGTAATTAAGTTACTGTATAAGCCCTCTCCCTCAGATGATAAGCCAACGATGGTGGTACCATCAGCAAATTTTAAGATAAATGGCAAATCCATGTTGTAGAAGGATTTTCTCAATATTATTGTGTTTCAGGAGAAACAATTTATAAATTATTTTACCAAAATAGAACAAAAATTATCTCCCTTGCCATTTCTAAGACTTTTTCTCCTGTCCAAAGCACCCAAAATTTCACTGAGTTTATTAGTATTATTTTATTGTTCGTAATTTGTTTGTGTGAAGATATGACCCAGGCTCGATTTGACCTGTGCTGTATTTTATTTAAAGTGAGGGAGAGTTGCTCAATTCGTCAGCCTCACTCTCTTATCCTCTCCAATTTGATCCAGTGGTCAGACCTTGTCAAAATGACTGGGAGAAATTGAACAATGATAATGTCATTTTTCAAACCTGATTTATATCTCAATGAAATGGATAAAATAAATTTTCACCATTGATGAAAAATTAAATTTTGCAATATCAATATCTATTCATATTTCATACTGGAAGTGCCGAAGAAAACTTGGAAGACTGAGATGTATTGCACGAACACTGCTGCACGTGTCACCTTGAGTTTGTGGCTGAGATTTGGTTCATGAAATTTATGGGCAAACTTATCGATATAGAAACATGCTGTAGAAATAATGATACAATAGGGACATCAATTTTATTTGATTTTGATGCCCATAATGTTCTGAACAATGTCCCTATTGAATAAATATGAAATAAGAGATAAGAAAACTGGTCAAACATAATTTTGTAACCATACAAAAAATTGATTTGTAAACACTTTCCTAAAATCTTCAAAATATGTTCAAAAAAATTTAAGATATTTAGGACCAAGGTAGAAGTGCTTTAGATTCAACTTATGTTTTTGAACTACTTCTGTTTGTGTTAACTACTTATGTCTGTGTGAACAACTTTTGTATGTTTGTGAACCACTTATCTTTCTAGGTGAACCACTTATAATTGTAATTTACAAAATAAGGAATCCTGGTGTTTATAATCTGATGAAAACGTACACAATCTTTTAAAAGATTTGCAAAACACAAACAAAAAAAAAACATTAGAAATAGATTTGAAAACGTTAAGTGGGAGACAAGAAAAACAAAGCTCAGTAGAATTCATTTAGTTTTCATTTAATTTTCTTATTTTACATTTCATTATGCCCATTAAGAATTTTTAAACAATTACGTACAGCATTTACATGGTGTTTATTTCAATGATTAGGTCTAGTGATGTGCGGAGTGATTGGGTCTAGGAATGTGCGGAGTGATTGGGTCTAGTGATGTGCGGAGTGATTGGGTCTCGTGATGTGCGGAGTGATTGGGTCTGGAGATGTGCGGAGTGATTGGGACTGGGGATGTGCAGAGTGATTGGGACTAGGGATGTGCGGAGTGATTGGGACTGGGGATGTGCGGAGTGATTGGGACTGGGGATGTGCGGAGTGATTGGGACTGGGGATGTGCGGAGTGATTGGGTCTGGGGATGTGCGGAGTGATTGGGTCTGGGGATGTGCGGAGTGATTGGGTCTGGGGATGTGCGGAGTGATTGGGTCTGGGGATGTGCGGAGTGATTGGGTCGGGGGATGTGCGGAGTGATTGGGTCGGGGGATGTGCGGAGTGATTGGGACTGGGGATGTGCGGAGTGATTGGGACTGGGGATGTGCGGAGTGATTGGGACTGGGGATGTGCGGAGAGATTGGGACTGGGGATGTGCGGAGTGATTGGGACTGGGGATGTGCGGAGAGATTGGGACTGGGGATGTGCAGAGAGATTGGGACTGGGGATGTGCGGAGAGATCGGGACTGGGGATGTGCGGAGTGATTGGGACTGGGGAGTGCGGAGTGATTGGGACTGGGGATGTGCGGAGTGATTGGGACTGGGGATGTGCGGAGTGATTGGGACTGGGGATGTGCGGAGTGATTGGGACTGGGGATGTGCGGAGTGATTGGGACTGGGGATGTACGGAGTTATTAGGACTAGTGATATGCAGTCCTTAAAGAGATTACTCATATTAAAGATGGCCAGTGAACTCATTTGGGCTAGTCATACTTAATATAAATTTATTTAAAAAGTGTGACCCCCACATTTCCCCCACCAGAAGGAGGGACACTAACAGCTTGTTGTTTTTTCCCCACAGAATCCAAGCCTTCCAGAAGAAATCTGATGCCACCAACATTTACCTGGTCCTAGATGCTGAAGGTTTGAGTGGACGTGTGGGGGAGGGGGGCTACCACCACCCCAACAAGTATGCAGAGCCGACCCAGGGAATGGAGACCTACCCACCTATCTATTCATATCCCATGGTAACTGCTTATCTACCCATCTATCTATTCTCATCACATGATAACTACTTATCTACCCACCTATTTATTCATATCACATAACTTATCTACCCACCTATTTATTCATATCACATAACTACTTATCAACCCAACTTTCTATTCACATACATTACTTATCTACACACCTATCTATTCTCATCACATGATAACTACTTATCAACCCACCTATCTATTCACATTACATTACTTATCTACCCACCTATCTATTCACATTACATGGTAACTACTTAGACTTGTAATATAAGAACCTGATAGAATTCATCAATTAGCTTTCTGTAACAGTCACTGAACTTCTGTAATCATCAAGGTGTGCTTTAAATTCGTATCTGCTGATATGGCCAAAGCATACGAGTTACAAATGATCACATAGAATTCATTCATTTTTAAATCATATGTTTTTATTTTCCACTTCCAAAATCAAATCCTCTTTAAAATACTTCTACTTGTGTCTGAACCAGGCGTATATTTTCACATATCTCAAAGTGAATGTTAAATCCTCTGGAATGCTCCTGAACTGAACCAGGCGTATATTTTCACATATCTCAAAGTGAATGTTAAATCCCCTGGAATGCACCTGAAGTTTAAAAAGAAAACAACTATAAAATGTGTTTATTGGAATTGTTTTTCTACAGGAGCGTACGATCAATTCAACACGCTGGCATACCATCATCATGATAATGAACTCCTCCACCGAGTGCACGGACAAGATTCAGTTTATGTTTGAAAAGGCGACTGACAAGGTAAGTGTGTAGGGCTGGCTGCAGTGACATCGCTAGAGCTAGTGCTGCCGGGGAAGTCCAAGATTTCTGCCGCGCCTCCCTTATCACGAAAAAATTCTGCAGTTTGCAGAAATAAGCAGGTCCTAAATATATAAAACAATGTGCCTCTAAAAGCCCACGTCCCCCCCCCCCCAAAGCTCCTACCTCTACCAGCGCCTGGTGTGTAAATCATGTATGGGGCACAGGGATATGAAATGTGTATTGTTTTTGAATGTGTAGTGGAGTGCAATCATGTTTCTCATTGCAAAGGTGTTGCAGGTGCAGGGCGTGCACAAAAAGGAATCAATTAAATACAATTCTCTCTGCACCTCAGGTGTAATGGTGAGTTCAATGGTGCGCAAAATAAAATTATCTGTTGTTTTCTGGGGATTGATCTGACGCCACCAAATCAAGGGGGTTAATCAAGCAACTAACCCCAGAAAGTCATCACACAGTTATTCTCACACCTATTGTGAAAAACTGGGTTGGTTGTGGTAATATAAGTTAAACACTATAAAACATTGACTATAAAACTGTTCAAAATTGACTGACTACGGCTGTTGAAAAAATAAGTGTTTTGAGTGGACAGGATACGCTCTTTATAGGCTCCTGAGCACAGCTGGTATGAGAGTATCTGGAAAAAATTCCAGCAAGGTCAAAGTTTTATCTTAATCCGGGGCCCAATGCTTAAAATTCATAGGGAAAACAAGTTTAGTTTAATGAAACATTTGATTTGAGTGGTAACCGTTTGTTTCTTTATTCTATCCCAGAAGCCCCAGTGAAACATTTGATTGTTGTGGTAACCGTTTGTTTCTCTATTCTATCCCAGAAGCCCTAGTGAAATATTTGATTGTTGTGGTAACCGTTTGTTTCTCTATTCTATCCCAGAAGCCCTAGTGAAATATTTGATTGTTGTGGTAACCGTTTGTTTCTCAGTTCTATTCCAGAAGCCCTAGTGAAACATTTGATTGTTGTGGTAACCGTTTGTTTCTCTGTTCTATCCCAGAAGCCCCAGTGAAACATTTGATTGTTGTGGTAACTGTTTGTTTCTCTGTTCTATCCCAGAAGCCCCAATGGAACATTTGATTGTTGTGGTAACCGTTTGTTTCTCTGTTCTATCCCAGAAGCCCCAAACCTCTTACTTCATCATACGGGTGGATATTAGAATCGCTCTGGTGGTGATATTTGAGAGCAAGAAGAACGAGAGGGACTCCACCGTCAACACGTTCATGACAGACTTGGCCTCACAGCTGAGATGTCAAACTGTCATGGCAGGCCTGAAAAACTTTGCCAGATCCTAGAGATGTTTGCGAGTGTGATGTCATTATTGTGTGGGATTTTGTGTGTGTGGGATGTCATGTGCAACTGGAATGTCATGTGAATGGGGGGATGGCATATGGGGGGGGATTTCATATATATGAGAATGGCATCTTTTTAGGGATGTCATTTAAGTCAGGGAATGGCATGTGTGTGTGGGGCCTGTCATTTATGGTAGAGTTGTTGATGGTTGATGGCATGTTTTTAGGGATGTCATTTGAGTCAGGGAATGGCATGTGTGTGTGAGGCATGTCATGTATGGTAGAGTTGTTGATGGTTGATGGCATGTATTTAAGGGGTGTTATTTGTGTGAAAGTTTTGTGTGGTGAAGATAATTCTTTTTTATTTTTGCCATTTCCTACGTGAGAAGAGTTTGTGAACTCAACACAGATTTACGGGTATAGTTCCTCAATGCTGTCACTTGTAAGAATTATTTAAAGCATGATGTGATTTGAAGAATTCATGGCAGTTAACTCTTGTGTCAATGAACTTAGTGTAAGTCATGTTTTTATCATTGTTGCTAGGAAGATTTTCAATTAAAGCAATGCTGTGTACATAATGTATTGTTTTGGTGGTGTTTGAACCTATCGTGACCTCTCTTTGGTGTACACATTCAGTTATATAAACAGATTGAACCTAACAGGACATCTCACTGGTGTACACATTCAGTTATATAAACAGATTGAACCTATCAGGACATCTCACTGGTGTACACATTCAGTTATATAAACAGATTGAACCTATCAGGACATCTCACTGGTGTACACATTCAGTTATATGCACAGTTTGAACCTATCAGAGCCTGGTGTTAGTGCAAAAAATTATGAAATATAAATGTTTGAACCTATGTTGACTACCTGTTAATTTATTAATTAATTGAGTAACGTTAATAATGTTATCATTTCCCCTGTGCCAAACATGGCCATGTAGTATTGAAGGGCTGGAATATCTAGTAAGACAAAAATGATCCATTCCTTCCACTACCAGTGGCAATTAATTCTATTGAAATTGAAAGGTTTTAATTGAACTGTAACTTCTACAGCTAGACATAAGTTGCAAAGATTGTCATACACAGTACATCTACGACTAGACATAAGTTGTAAAGATTGTCATACACAGTACATCTATGACTAGACATAAGTTGTAAAGATTGTCATACACAGTACATCTACGGCTAGACATAAGTTGCGAAGATTGTCATACACAGTACATCCATGACTAGACATAAGTTGTAAAGATTGTCATACACAGTACATCTACAGCTAGACATATGTTTTGAAGATTGTCATACACAGTACCGGTACGTTCCAAGAATAGAAATAAATACATTGTAGTATTGTTTTGTTTTTGTCATATAATTTTGCAAAAAAAAATTGAATTGATCAATTTAGTCCATCCAGAGTTAATTGATTCTCCTTATTTTTACATGGGAAAAGGTGGGACGCTTCCTTGTTTCTTTTCTTTAAATTTCTTTTTTTCTATTTAAACTATTTGAGGGCGTAGCGTTCTCAATTGCTAGATAATATTATAAATTATGATTTAAGCTGACTTTCCTTGATTAAACATTGAGGCTGTTTATTAAAAAAGGTAATATTCAGGTATAATTCATTGACTAGCTAACCCATTAGCATAACAGATGTTTTCAATTTTATGCATTGAAAATTGTAGTTCTCAATCAACGTGCATGTATTGTTAGCACAATGTGTTAGTGGGCTTAAAGTGTGTTAAGGGGCTTTAAGTGTGTCAATAGAATTCTTTTAAAGGGGACACAATTGCATATGTTGAAAATGCAACGCTGTTTCAAAGGATGTCTCTTTTGCCAACAGTTGCAGACATACAGACCCTGTAGAAATATTTAGAGAGAGAATTAAGAGATTTCATGATTTGTTATTTTTATGTGTATATAAAATCAATGACTTGTTTTATAAAAGAAGTTGTACAGAAAACAAAATATGATGTGCTGCTATCAAAGATATTTATTGCTTTTATTTTAACTCCAAGATAGTAGCCTAAAAGCTTCTAAAAATTTGCCCGATTTTTTTTTTAGTGAGAGTCATATTTCCGGGTTGTTTTTTTGTTGGTTTTGTTGTGTGTGTGTGTACTTGTTTCGTAAATATGGCCGCAAAGTTTGCCGCTTCACGAATTCATCATCTACGCACACAAAAGCAACAAATAATTTATCGATATATATTATAAATTAATTATTGGAGACTTATTTTGACTATGTTATAACTTTAATCAAACACAGAATGGACTGACGTCACATTGTCTAATTGTACTGTTGTACGACAGTCCTTCTGGGCAGCGGTAAATCTCCTGTTTGTATTCCCCACGATTCAGCGTGCACAGCTTGTACCAGCGACAGTTTCGCGTATCCCTGTGGGAGCCTGTACCCAGACTTGCGCACTCTGTCGAGGGATACACACTTCCTGGCAAACGGGGAGGCACTGGGGGAGATATTCATTACCATTTATTCATAACTGGCACAAACAAACAAAATGAAGGCTCTCTTCTTAATTTAAATATTTTAGACTTCAGCTAATTAACAATGATAATTTTTATGAACTAAGACTTGGCACACCTTTCTTCAGGTGAGTTTAAAAAAAAGTGCAAAGAGTGTTGAAATGTACCGGGATGCAAAAGCACAGTCTAAAATTGCAAGAATATTCCAATTTTTTTTCCTTTGGTGACAATTAATTTTTATCTCCCTATAAAAAGTGTCAAAGAACCCTTTAATGGGGACGCAATAGCACCCCCGGTACTGGGAAAATGCAACATTGATACTAATGTATTACATTGACTTTTTGGGACCGAGGTACTGCTCTTTTATGGCCCCGGCAAGTACGCCGTCTCTGCTGGGCTGTGCAGCAAATCAGACTGTCAACGTGGTTGGCTGGGCGCACCCCAGCCACACCAGTCGTTAGCGTCGGGCACTCGGCTAGTAGGTGCTCGACCGTCTCCGGCCCCTGTCCACAGTGACCGCAGCTCGGGTCCCGAAGTGGGTGCAACCTATTTAGATAGCTACGGGTTGGGAAACTGATACAAAGGGTTGTATCTCTTAAGTCTAAGTTCAAAACAGACATACGAAGGAAACGATGTTATTGGAATAAACGTGTTATCAATACAGCCCAATATTTTATTATGCAATCGCCGCGTCTTTAAACTTTAAAACAACAGTTATGAAACAGATATGAAACAAATTGGTTTTGCCAAGAAAATACTCTCTGATCCTCTCAAATGAGGCGTGTCCAGTGCGCTTGCCTCGTGTTGTTCCTACAGTGATAAAAATAGACTGATTACTGTGACGTAGAAATGTGTACGCCTCCTGTCTACGTTTCCGCATATCCTCCGCAATAGTTGACAGTCGCACGGACGCCCCCACCCCCCTCGTTAATCTTAAACAGGGAAAGAGCACCTACCCCATGGCTCAAAAACTATTGTTGAACACTAACCGTTAGTTCAGCAGACGTTTGGTGTGAAGTGGTGAGTACACATAACGTTACCTCTTTGAGAGACAGGTAATGACCTGCCTGACCTGTCCATGGGTCGGATGACGTCATTGATGGTTCTCAGCAAGGGGTACGTGCCACCGCCGCAGTGTCCGTTGAAGTCGTCCAACTCTACTGACCACACGAAGGCCCCGGCCAGGCCGTAGCCGTTGATCATACGGTCAGCCTGTGGGGTGAGCAAATCAGACGCTATTTATTAGATCAAATTTTGTTGGGCACAATGAGACACTATTTATTAGATCAAACTTTGTTGGGCACAAATGAGACACTATTTATTAGATCAAACTTTGTTGGGCACAATGAGACACTATTTATTAGATCAAACTTTGTTGGGCACAATGAGACACTATTTATTAGATCAAACTTTGTTGGGCACAATGAGACACTATTTATTAGATCAAACTTTGTTGGGCACAAATGAGACACTATTTATTAGATCAAACTTTGTTGGGCACAATGAGACACTATTTATTAGATCAAACTTTGTTGGGCACAATGAGACACTATTTATTAGATCAAACTTTGTTGGGCACAATGAGACACTATTTATTAGATCAAACTTTGTTGGGCACAATGAGACACTATTTATTAGATCAAACTTTGTTGGGCACAATGAGACACTATTTATTAGATCAAACTTTGTTGGGCACAATGAGACACTATTTATTAGATCAAACTTTGTTGGGCACAATGAGACACTATTTATTAGATCAAACTTTGTTGGGCACAATGAGACACTATTTATTAGATCAAACTTTGTTGGGCACAATGAGACACTATTTATTAGATCAAACTTTGTTGGGCACAATGAGACACTATTTATTAGATCAAACTTTGTTGGGCACAATGAGACACTATTTATTAGATCAAACTTTGTTGGGCACAATGAGACACTATTTATTAGATCAAACTTTGTTGGGCACAATGAGACACTATTTATTAGATCAAACTTTGTTGGGCACAATGAGACACTATTTATTAGATCAAACTTTGTTGGGCACAATGAGACACTATTTATTAGATCAAACTTTGTTGGGCACAATGAGACACTATTTATTAGATCAAACTTTGTTGGGCACAATGAGACACTATTTATTAGATCAAACTTTGTTGGGCACAATGAGACACTATTTATTAGATCAAACTTTGTTGGGCACAATGAGACACTATTTATTAGATCAAACTTTGTTGGGCACAATGAGACACTATTTATTAGATCAAACTTTGTTGGGCACAATAAGAAACTATTTATTAGATCAAACTTTGTTGGGCACAAATGAGGCACTATTTATTAGATCAAACTTTGTTGGGGCACAATGAGACACTATTTATTAGATCAAACTTTGTTGGGGCACATATTTCAAATGAGACACTATTTATTAGATCAAACTTTGTTGGGGCACATATTTCAAATGAGACTATTTATTAGATCAAACTTTGTTGGTGCACATATTTTAAATGAGACTATTTATTAGATCAAACTTTGTTGGGGCACATATTTCAAATGAGACTATTTATTAGATCAAACTTTGTTGGGGCACATATTTCAAATGAGACACTATTTATTAGATCAAACTTTGTTGGGGCAAACATTTCAAATGAGACACTATTTATTAGATCAAACTTTGTTGGGGCAAACATTTCAAATGAGACACTATTTATTAGATCAAACTTTGTTGGGGCAAACATTTCAAATGAGACACTATTTATTAGATCAAACTTTGTTGGGGCAAACATTTCAAATGAGACACTATTTATTAGATCAAACTTTGTTGGGGCAAACATTTCAAATGAGACACTATTTATTAGATCAAACTTTGTTGGGGCAAACATTTCAAATGAGACACTATTTATTAGATCAAACTTTGTTGGGGCAAACATTTCAAATGAGACACTATTTATTAGATCAAACTTTGTTAGGGCAAACATTTCAAATGAGACACTATTTATTAGATCAAACTTTGTTGGGGCACATATTTCAAATGAGACACTATTTATTAGATCAAACTTTGTTGGGGCAAACATTTCAAATGAGACACTATTTATTAGATCAAACTTTGTTGGGGCAAACATTTCAAATGAGACACTATTTATTAGATCAAACTTTGTTGGGGCAAACATTTCAAATGAGACACTATTTATTAGATCAAACTTTGTTGGGGCAAACATTTCAAATGAGACACTATTTATTAGATCAAACTTTGTTGGGGCAAACATTTCAAATGAGACACTATTTATTAGATCAAACTTTGTTGGGGCACATATTTCAAATGAGACACTATTTATTAGATCAAACTTTGTTGGGGCACATATTTCAAATGAGAATATTTATTAGATCAAACTTTGTTTGGGCACATATTTCAAATGAGACACTATTTATTAGATCAAACTTTGTTGGGCACAAATGAGACACTATTTATTAGATCAAACTTTGTTGGGCACAATGAGACACTATTTATTAGATCAAACTTTGTTGGGCACAATGAGACACTATTTATTAGATCAAACTTTGTTGGGCACAATGAGACACTATTTATTAGATCAAACTTTGTTGGGCACAATGAGACACTATTTATTAGATCAAACTTTG